GGGGGGGGGCTAGGGCAGGACGGGGGCGGGGCTCCTCCCGTCCTCTTTTTTCCGTGCTGAAATATGGTAACCCTATTTTTACACCCTAATCTTCCCACGTGTGCGTGTACATGCACATACTGGTTTATATGCCCAATTATAAAGGGTAATATATATTTTTCCTTTGGCATTTATCCTAAGTGCACCGCCCCAGACACATTGGTGCTTATTTCTGCTGCTGCCTAACAAAACATGTAACACTTAAGAGTACAACTGGACAAACTGTTTCGGCTACAAATTTTTTTCAGCCAAAAATGCAGATTTGGGTAGACATTTTGCAGATGTGTTAAATTCACCTAATTGTTTTGGTCAAAAATCTTCCCTTCCCTGCTCAAAATTCCAAAATAATCAAAATGTTTTGATTTTTTTTTTATTAAATCACTTTTTGCTCAGAAACGTACTTTGATTTTCTTAAAAATGTTCAAACTCAAATTAAATGTTTCATTCGGCCCCAAACTAAATTTTTTTATATATATATTTTAGTTTATTGAATGTTTCAGACTTTTTTTCCAGACCAGCCAGTGACTGGAAAAATTTGTTATTCACAAAGCCCTAATGAAGAGCCTTTGTTTCCTTTCATAAACCAAACAACAAATAAGGAAATTCCTAGTTTAAAAAATGTTGCTAACCCAGAATTTGGATGGTAAATAGCTCCAGTTGATTTAAATGGTGTTATTAGAACATCGTAGTTCAATTTTTTTTTTAAGTTGGAAAGTCAGGAAATTGGAAGGTTCAAGGAACACATCAAAAAGTCAATTAATAAATGTCTTGGTTATTGTTCTACTGTCCCTATACCTTGACTCTGCTCCCAATGTAGATTGGGGGTTAGCAGGCAGGTTATAAGGGGCAGAGTTAGGATCAGGGGATGGTGGTCAGGATGTGATGCTAGAAACTGAGCTGAATTCTGACTGTGACGCTGCACCCTATATTCTTCATAGAGATATTGTTAAGGTATGGGTATGGCATAACTAAGATGTGTTTTATGCAAGATGGGTCATGTGAGATATCATTGGAAAGGTTATGATGTACTGCATATGATTATCCTATTTGTATGCAAGTATCATTTTTGTATCTAAAGTTAGGAATATTGACTATACATCTGTACTACAAAAGTGTTTGCACCTGGAGAATGCCCACCAGACAGAATACAATCAGTCTAGCTGGCTCCCTGTGAGGAAAAGCCATTAGAAAGAACAATAGGTCTCAGAAGATGTTTATCACTCACAGAGAAGTCTTCCTGGGGACGCTACAAACAACCTCTGACTCATGGCTGCTTTGACACTGCAGGGTCATGTGATCAAGTCATCTGGTACTGGATTCCATGATAGAAAACCAGTATTTTTCCACTGGGGATGGGAGATTCCCGCCATATGTAAAACCTATTTAAGGCAGGGGAGTGATATACTCAGGGTGGTTCTTCACTGAATTCCCACCCAGGATGACTGCTGTTTAAGATCTAAGAAAAAAAGACTGAGTGGGGGAGAAGGACTGAGCCCAGGCTGGAAAGGTGTCTGGCCTGTGAAAGAAATACCTGGAGTTTTAAGCTGCAAGCAAGAGCAGCTCACCTTCAAGAATTTCTGCAATCTGCCTAAAACAACATTCTTCAGATGCATGGAGTGGGCTTTTACCCACGAAAGCTTACGCCCAAATAAATCTGTTAGTCTTTAAGGTGACACTGGACTCCACGTTATTTTTGTGGGTACAGATTAACACCGCTACCCCCCTGATACTTGGTGAGAAATTATTATTTGTAACCAGTTTATTTAGTATCTGAAGCTTAGCTTGCATGTTTATTTTATTTGCTTGGTAATCTGCTCTGATCTGTTTGCTATCCCTTATAATCACTTAAAATCTATCTTTTGTAGTTAATAAACTTGTTTTTGTTTTCTCTGAAACCAGTCTGTTGAATTCACAGACCTCCTGGGTGTGGTGTTCTGTAGTGGCTCGGGAGACCACTTAGAGAGCAATTAATGAGTCTGCTCGACAGCCTTAGCTAACAGCCAGTTTAGTTCATGCAGTAGAGGCTTATACTCTAAGCTCCAGAGGTCCCAGGTTTGATCCCACCTGCTGATGACTGGGATCTGTTGGCATTACGCTTACATTGCACAGTTCTGTGTGCAGCACACGACAATACAATTTTGGGTTTACACCTCAGTGGGGGTGTGCACATGAGTGCTGGGCAATTCACTAGCCGAGCTTTCCCATGCAGAGCTGATCTCAGCGTCTGAGTTTTTCTGCAGCTGGGTGTTTCCCTACCGGTGTGTGTACTGGAGGAGGCTTCAGGGCCTGGCTCAGCAGGACAGTAAGGGAGCCCAGGCTGGTGGGTCGGGCGAGCTCAGTGGTACCCAGTACATCAGGTGGCACCCCGGGCGGGGCGGGGCTGGAGGGACCCGTCACACTGACATTTTCAAGTAAATAATAGGTTGTTACAAGAAAAAACTTATTCTCCTTAACCTTGGATAGGACAAGAAACAATGGGCTTAAATTGCAGCAAGGGTGGTTTAGGAAAAACTTCCTAACTGTCAGTTAAGCACTGGAACAAATTGCCTAGGGAGGTGGTGGAATCTCCGTCACTGGAGATTTTTAAGAGCAGGCTAGACAAACACCTGTCAGGAACGGTCTAGTTATTAGTCCTGCTGTGAGTGCAGGGGCCTAGACTAGATGATCTACTGAGGTCCCTTCCAGTCTTACACTTCTATGATTCTGGGTTTCTGTGATAACACCGTAACATCCTATGTTTTATTACAATCCCCTGCGCTATGCCAGGGTTGGTCCCAACTGAGCACGTCAGCCTGGGTGTTCAGGGCAAATGGGGCCCCGAATTCCCACCCATTCCTTGATCTAGGGGAAGGGGGAAACTCACAGCGCATGGGCAGGGCAGGGATACAGGATGTGGCACTCACCTGGGCACTGGGAGCTGCCCTCCAGCAGCACAGACAGGTACGAGGTCGGGGATCCCAGGATGCAGATGGTCACATCCCCCGAGCTGAACCCTAAGAGACACAGGGGAGAAATTAACCACTTATTCCCACCAACGGCACTGTGCTGCCCTCTAGGCCTTGGTGCTAAGGGGTGCCATGTCGCTGCCCTCCATACCCAGCCATGCTCCATCTCCTAGCCTGGTGCTAAGGGCAGTGGTGCTGGAACTAGGGGTGGCCCCTCCTATACAGGATTTACAATGCCACGGGCTAAGGGGTGCCATGAGGCTGCCCTTCGTACCCCAGCCGTGCCCCATCTCCCAGCCTGGTGCTAGGAGGCGCTGTGCTGCTGCCCTCCTTACCCTGGCCATGCCCCACCTCACAGCCCAGCACTAGGGGGCGCTGTGCTCCCAGATCCCCCTGGGTGCCACAGGAGGGGTTTCTGTAGGGCAGTGCTGTGGCCCCAGCATGTGAGCGGTGGCACCCTGGGTGGGCTGGCATGCACCTGTTCTGGGCTCCTTGGTGCGGTCAACTGTCTCCAGCAGCCCCTCCTGCTGCAGGGTACATTGCAGCAGGTCGTAGTAGTAGGTGGTCCAGGCATGTGCCTGGGTGTCCTCCGGAGAGAACTTGCAGTCCAGAGACACGTCCTGGTGCCAGGAGGGACACGGGGGGCTGAGCGATGGCAGGGGCTCCTGCTCAGCCCAGTCCAGCTCCTTCAGGATCAGGGGCTGATCCACATTGATCTGATCCAGAGATAGCTGCAAAAGAGATGGGGATGGGAGTGTGAATCCTGGCACTAGTGCCCTGGGGCACAGATCCCCCTGGGGGCAGGGCTGGGAGAGTGAATGCTGGTGCTGGTGCCCCAGTGCGTGGATCCCCCTGGGGCCAGGGCTGGGAGCGTGAATGCTGGTGCTGGTGCCCCAGGGCATGGATCCCCCTGGGGTCAGGGGTGGGAGCGTGAATGCTGGTGCTGGTGCCCCAGAGCATGGATCCCGCTTAGGGGCAGCATGGCTCTGGCTGGGGGTAAATCCCCACAGGGTGGGTGAGGCAGGTGCCAGCTGCCCAGAGGCAGCAGAGGCCATGGCAGGGGCGGGTTTTCAAACAAAGCATCTCTTTATCCTCCCCAAAGGGGGTGGGTCACGTGGGGCTGGAGCTAAGCGGCTTGAGGAGCAAGGCTGTAAACAGATCAATCTGCCTGGGTCAGTGAGCTGGGGGAGGGAGGCAGGAGCAGAAGTAGGGAGAAGGGGAGAGATTTCTGCCTCCTGCTGGGACACCCCACTCCCCTCTTTCTCCACCCACACCCATTGCAAGACCTCCCCAGAGCTGTTGTGCAACAGTGCCCTGGCACACCACAGCTGGGGCTTCAGTGCTGTGAGCTTCCGACCCACAGCAGTGCCCCTGGATTCCTGGTGCTGCGTTCTTCCCCACAACAGTGCCCTGGCAGTGCCCCCTGGATTCCTGGTGCTGCAGTCTTCCCCACAGCAGTGCCCAGCCAGTCCCTGGTGCTGTGAGCATTCCCAGAGCAGTACCTGGGAGTGCCCAGCCAGACCCTGGTGCTGCAAACTTCCCCACAGCAGTGCCCAGACAGCAGTATGGCTAGAAGGCTCCCACACTGTTATGGTAATTTGCAGGAATCTCCCGTGTCTGAGGGAATCGGACACCATTTTTCCCTTTATTAGCACAGGTACAGCAGGGCCTGCCTCAGATCTCCCTCCTCCCCAGCTGGACCCTTCCCCCCCACTTCCCTGCCTCCAAATCCTTCTACTAAGCTCCTGGGACCGAGGACACTGGCTCCCACTCAGGACTAGAGGGCCCAGAAGTGGTTTTTGGTGACATGAGGCAGGGCAGGGGGCTGGATGGGGAAGAGGAGCAGGACAAACTCACCATCCTGCCAGCGAAGAAGCTGCAAGAGAAAAAAAAGTGAGAGAGGCACCAGTTGCAGGTTTCCATGGGCAAAGAGGAGCAGCCTGTCACCCCATCTCCCACCCACAGGGGGCGCCAGTTGCATGTACTGCTCACCCCTCCTCCAGCGTTCACTGCATCCACACAGCTGGGGCAGTTCCAGTGTCAGGCTCCTGTGCCCACTCCTGAATACCTGAATACCACTGCTGGGATGGCAGGGACTGTGGATCAGGATTGAGGGGCACCAGCATTGCTCTGTGTGGGGAGCCCAGGGCTGGGATAGCAGGGGCTGCGGGGCAGAATTAAGGAACATTGGCAGAGCGGTGAGCTTTGTGATTCCCGGGCGTTTTAGCTGAGCTGCCCCTGCTCTGAGCGTCAGTGATGGGGGCGATTTGGCCAGGGGGGCCCCCTCCTGTCTGGGCCCATGCCCCGGCTGCTCGCTGTGCAGTTCCTCCTAGCCACTGAGCTGAGACATTCCCAGCTCCGAGGACAGAGTCTGATTAAGCTAATCCCCCCAAACCCCTAGTGCTGGCTCAGCAGGGGCTACAGGGCCCCTCTCCCTAGCCCCACTGGCTCAGAGCTCCCTGCCCCTGGGATGCTGCTGAGGAACCAGTATCCCCAGGCCCCAGGATCCCAAGAACCCAGGAGTCCGAGGCTGGTGTCACACCCAGCTGACAAGGCAGGATCGTTCCTCATGGGAGCAGGGCTGGGCTGGAGCTTCGGCCTCTTCCCTTGGGACAGGGTGGAGGAACCGTGAGAACAGAGGCTGAATTTATAGCACGTCCCTCACTTCCCTGAGCCAGGAACAGAACCCAGGAGTCCCAAGCCTTGGCCATCAGCCCATCCCTCCTTTCTTATCTTTTCTCCAGCAGCTGCCATTCCCTTGCCCTTCCCAGCAAAGCTATTCCAGGGCAAACTTCTCCCCCGCACTCCCTCCTGCCCCTGGCGGTGAGGATCGGGTGAGCTGTCATGTGTAATTCCTGGGCCAACTGACTGGTCACTGTGGGGCTCTTCTCAGACTGTCCCTGCCCTTCACCCACCAGGCACCACCCCCAGGGCTCTGGGCTGGAGCTGCGACACTGTGGGGGTGCTTTGCTGCAGAGAACGGGGCGAGGGATACAGTAGGGGGTGCTCTCCCCTCGCAGGCTGTGCCAGCCCCCAATGCCCCAGTGCAGCACTAGGAGACGCTGTGCCATGAGATGCTTCCTTTTGGACATATATCGCAGCCCTGTCTCCTGGGGGTTAAAGGTCCCATTTGAACACAAGTTGAGATGTCCTGGGCAATTCCATTCTGCCTCCTCAATCCCCCCC